ATGGAGTCAGCCATGGAAGATGAACGCAACAGCAGCTGGTCGTTGACGAGGCAGCTCGGGGGCTTGAGGTTGAACACCGAAGCAGCAGCAGCTGGAGGTGAAGAAGAAAACTGAAGCAGTAGCAGCTATGGTAGAAACAGTGATGGCGATGAGCAGCATGACGAGGAAGATGAAGCAGAAACAGTCATGAACTTCTTTGAACGTGCGGGGGCTGCTGGAGGTCGACGAACCGTTCGTTGTCGACGACTGGATGTAGCAGCTGAAGATGAAGCAACAATGCAGAAATAGCTACGTGAGCAGCAACAGCAGCGGCTGGACGCGATGAGGAGGAAGGAGGAGTCGTTCATGTTGGTAAAGTCGCGGGTGTGTGTGTGTTACGTCGCCATGGTNTTAAATGCTAAAAATGCAAAAGATGCCTATTTTTGTAATTTTTTTTTTGTAAAACAAACTTAATTACTAACAATTGTAGAATTAAATCCTACATGCAAAATGCGACATATTTTTGTATTTTTATTAATTTAACAAATAAACATGCACAGACAAATATGCAAATAATTACTCAAAAATATCACAAAATATCACAAAATTGCACATCAAGGAAAATCATTTTATTTTTTGAATTTTTTGGGAGTAATTCTTTCATAGGGCAAAAATCACGTGCTTACACCATCGACATTAACATGAGTTCGACCTCGCTCGAACTACGACAGGATCCTACTTCGACAACAGTTCGAAGCAACATCCCAATGGCCAAGGCCATCGACAATAACATGAGTTCGACCTCATTCAAACTACGACGGGATCCTACTTTGACGATAGTTCGAAGCAACATCCCAATGGCCAAGGCCATCAATGATAACATGGGTTCGATAAATGCAAGAAAGAACAAATCGACGAAATAAATTTTACATTACATCAAAATATTATTTACACTTGCCTTTATAAACGGACTCAAGTATGCCCCCCGCAAAAACCCCAAAACAAAAGCAAGTACAAATAAAGCCTACACATTATCCCCGATGGGGTAAGCATATTCGTACCACGAATCCGAAGTAAGGTGGTTCGCATCATCAGAGTTGATGTCATCCCCATAAGGCGTGAGGGGGTCGTACTCGCATGCCTCACGAGCTGCACGAGCTTTGGTGTGCACGGCTTGAAGCTCCGCCTTAGTAGCCCTTCCCTTGGAGTGAAAAGCCTTATACACATCAAGCCGAGCCTCTGTGTGGACCCACAACTCATATAAACGATGGGGTATGACCGGATCGGCTGAGGCACGAGACGTAAAAGGCTGAGAACATCGACTTGCATCCTCCACCCTCAGCAAGGCCATTTGTCCATTTAACGCAGCCAGCTCCGCCTCCAGTTCTTTGATACGCCCCTTAAGCCCTGCAACCTTACGATTAGAGGCCTCCTTCTATTCAGCCATCTCCTACTTGCAAATGCGGAGGGCATTCTCTAAAGATGCGGTTCCAAAAATAGCTGCTGCCAACTTATTAGTGCCGACGCTCAGCTCGCCCTTAAGCCCCTCTACCTCTGATGCCTTCGTATTCAACTCAACGGTCAAACCGACCACCTTTGCCTGCAAGTCAGCATTTTTGGCCATCACCCCTACTCAACTCAAGTTCGTCGTCATTTACCTTAAGAGAAGCCTCGAGCTCACTATTGCGAGCAATAGCCTTCATGAGATCCTCATCCCGCTCCTTCAACTCTTCGATCTTACGCTCTAGTTGGTCCTCCCGCTGTTTGAGCCCCTCACGAAACAACTGAAACTCAGGGTCCTGATGATAAATTTCGGCCATCACACGATGCTTAGCACAATACTGTTGATATTTGGACGACATCTTCTCATAAAGGCCCATCCTTTTCCTCTCTCTATGCTCTCGCTCAATCTCCATGATGAGGGTCTGGCAAAAAAGGGGAGAAGTTAGAAATAAAATGCAGAACGACGATCACCACACAAACCCAACGATGAAAAGGGGAGGAAAGGCACCTACCTGCAAAGCCATACTGGCGACTTTCTGAGACAACTCCACGTCGCTCATCGCCTTAAGCACCTAGTTCTCATGGGCAGCACATAGAGGAGCTAGAGCAGATGCCACTTGCTCGCAGTTTAGTAGCAAGTTGTAGTCCCCCGGAACGACTATATGACGATTAGACCCTTCTATTCTGATCTCTACATGAGTATGGCGACCCACGAACTCATTGACATCCTCTGGGTCGACATCTGAGCCTGAGCCGCCATCCTCAATACAACGACCTCCAACATTGGATGATGCACTGCCCTCAGCTGAGCGCACAGAGCCGGCTCCTGGGTAAGCTCCTTCCACTCGGCGAGACCTCCCCGACAAGATAGCATCAGCCATAAAAGTGGGCACAGGTGCTGTCTAGACGTCCTGCTTCTGTCACCGTCCACGGCCATGCCCTTCCCAAGCTCCATCCTTCTCCTTTTTCTCAATAGTGGTTCGTCCCCGTTAGAGGACTCGTCCAAAGGATGTGAAGCCGGTACTAAATAAGACTCTTCCCTCATGACCATGACTCGAGAGGGATCTTCTAATTGAATAGGTTGAGGATGGCCCTCTCGAACAGACTCACTCAAAACAAATTGCGCGTCTGCGACAGCAACGGCCTGTTGAAACGCAGGGACTAACGCCCTTTGCCTGGAAGCTCCAAGACCTGTCATCACAAAGGGTCGTATTAATATACAAGGTCGTACGGTCAACGAAGCGGTAAGGAAAATATTTACCAGAAGAGACTCTAGGGCCGTAACGCTTCACGAAGGCGGTTCAATCACGAGTCTCGACTGCATAAGGCAACAGACGAGCTACCTAACCCTTGATATCCGCAATAGGGCGAGGCGGACGTCCCAGAGCTGCAAACAGGAAACAAACTTTAGAATGAATACAAACGAAGGAAAAGTAAAATGAGCGGTGACACTTACGAGTCTCATTCCATCGCTCCAGGAACCTAGCGGAATAAAAAACGACATGTTCGGTTATGACAACGAAGTACTTGTGCCAAAACTTGCGGCTTGCCCAGTCATCTGTCCCGACCACCAACCCTTTCGTGCCACGAAGCCACAAATGCACCATGGTACCCTTGTGGAAGCCGGGTGTGAACAGGTGCAAAAGGTGGTGGATAGAAACGTTACACTCCGCCAACTCTGCATACTTGGTCACCATCAGAAGTATCTTGATCGTATATGGCGAAAGTTGTGCTAGACAAACTTGGTAGAACCTACAGAATTCTTCCTCTAAGAGGAAGAGAGGAAGAGTATAGCCGATCATAAAAGGGTACTCATAGAAAGCGCAGTACCCAGGATTGTGGACATCCACGTAATCTCTCCCCGCCGGAACCATTTCTACATGAGCAGGAATGCCATACTTTACACGAAGAACGTCGATATGGACTTGCTCCGTCTTAGAAAATACGGGGTCCAGAGTAGGAGGGTCTTTGAGGAAGTCACTACGGGATAAGGGATGCCTTGGTAGTAACTCCTCCACCGTAGGAAGGCTGTCACCCTCTTCTACCACCGTATCTTCGCCGCCAGAGGGGGCGCCATGGACAACGAGGTGGCTTCAGGAACCTCTTCACGAGAACGACGAGACCTCGGCATAATATCGTTCAAAGGAATATCAACACAAAAGGAAGAAGGAAGAAGAAGCTTCGAATGAAGAGCGTAAGAAGAAACAGAAGGATACGAGAGCAAATTAGGAAGAGTGAAAGAAGTTCTCAAGAGTGAAATGGCTAAAAAATTTCAAGAAAACAAACCCTTCACCTATTTATAGGGTTGGGTGGCGCCAGAATCAAGGCGGCAGGTCACAAAGCAGCTCAATAATTGAAGGATTAAGCTGTCAATTCCTGCCTCGAAAACCTGCGTGATGATGATGCACGTGAAGCTGACATCATTTCCCGGTAAAGTGTATCACTCGACGTCTTGCTGAACAAGTTGATCGTCCCTTGTTGGCCACGTCGTAACATTTCAACGGATCAAATTTCTCCATAAGAACGCATGAAATCCGCTCATCGAGGTCACACCCGGTTGCAACCTCGACAAGCGGAGGAACTAACTATATGTGTCCAAATTTGACCGACCACGACCAACGACGAGTACGACAAACGACAGGGTCTCTTTGAGTCGACGTCCCAAGGGAGACGACCTTAAGGCAAAGAAAAGACCGTACGACTCTTGTAATAGTGTAAGCCCATTAGGGAATATCAGGAATATTCCGTCGAATATTCCTTGTATTTTGTCTTTTACAATTTAGAAGAGTCTCTCTCTTAGTATAAAAGGGAAACAATAACCTTGTAACAGGGGTGAACTCTAAAAAAGATTATCAATCTTGAATGAAAAGTAACTTAACGACCATCTTCTCTTTTATCTATTATTCTTTCTAGAGATTATTATATTCAACTGAGATTTACCCCATCATCTTTGATTGATTTGTTTAAAAAAGTTTTACTATCTTTTGAGTCAAACAAAATGCAATTTCTCCGATTCATGTTTTTTTAGGAACGAGGATTCAACGGCAGCTCTTATAACTGTATTGGTAAGAATATGACCTAATATGTGACCCACTTGATAGAGGACACGTGGCAAATATATCATAGTAAGCTCCAGGTCAAACCGAAAGGTCAGCTAAAAAAATACAACTAAGTTGTTGAATCGAAATCAAGTGTGTTATTCCAGAGGTAACCATCATGCGTCCCTGGGGAGGTGACCGAGTACTCCGGAAGTCTTTTGCTCCGGACAAGAAGATCAACAGACCAACGGTAATGGAATTATCTCATCAATTATGGAGTTAATTCATTAATTACAAAATTAACACATGAATTAAACTAGCAGTTACAGAATTAACTCAACTATTATAAAATTTTAGTATTGACTCAGTAATTACAAGTCATCGAAAAATAATGAATAAGTTGAGTTAATGCTCATAATCTATATATCTGTATAATTGAGGGCCCTAAGCCCGATGACGCGGCGCTCCCATTCAGCAGCAAATCCCAATTCCTGCTTCTACACTTACTTAGCAGTTAGCATTTTAAAAGTGATACTCCCTCCGCGCGAATAACAAATAAACCCTCAAAATACACAAACCTCTTCAGATGCACAGCCGTGTCTTCACACCGATTCTTTACTATCTATTTTCTTCTAGTTTCTCTGTACTCCTCCATCTCTTTCACTTTCTCGTACTCCTCCGTCTCTTCCGCTTTCTTTGTACTTCTCCATATCTTTAAGACCTCTCTTCCTTCTTATTTTTACACCCATGACCTGTTTGAAAAAATGCTATACATGGCACCCGGAATCAACAATGTCGGTATGTAATTCTCTCAAACTTAATCTTTACCAATTATGCTTACCAATTCTAATCTAATCAACTGATATATTTGCCTACTCTAATTCTATTGAAACATGAGAGAGCATAATTGACGTCAAATATATTAGTAATTGATAAATGATATCATTCACGTTGATCGAACCCGTCGGGGGTTGCCTTCTCTCTCTCGAACTGATAGAAATAATTCATAACTACTGTTTCTGCACATTTGGTAACTACTGCTCTAAACATTCTTAAATACTATTACCATTATTATTGGCCTAATGAATACCTAACGAAGGATTATGGAAGAAACAAATGTGTATGTTAAGCGGTTATGTGGTGTAATTTTAGGTTTAAATTGCAAAAATTGCTTTTATCTTTGTGTGCTTTATGAGAATAAAATGGAACCTTGAAACTTGGGTTCGTGCTTCTGTATGCTACCAGTTAATTATTTGTTCTCTATGTTGTGTGTGAATTGAGTATTTTCTTTTATGCGAAGTGCCAATGTGCTGAGTGCTCTCTTTTCTCCTCACTGCAATTTTTTTTTTTTTGTAATCTTTTTTTCATCAGTTTCATTTATTTTTTAATTTTCCGTGTGTTCGCGCAATTGTTCTGTAATCTTATTTGCCTACTCTATTCCAAAAAATTTCAACGACATAATTTTAATATCATAAGTAACTGACATATTTATATTTGCCTGCTCTAATTCTATTGGGAAAAAAATGATGTTTCTTGCCCCTTGAATCAGCAACTACTGTTGTCGACTCATCTTTTCAACTGTTGCATTTAATTAGGAAGTATGAAAGTAGCTTCAGTTTTGTTGTTGTACCGCAAATATAAGAATAACATACAGCTAAAAATAAATCTATGCTTTAAGCCTCTGCAAGGTGAAGATACTGATATACTTGGCTAATTATCACGATCCTAACCCCGAACCCAGTCGTGATGGCGTCTCTCGTGAAGACAAGGCCACCCAGACCAAAACAGAACACCTCTTTTAAACAGTTAAATACCATAAATAGTTCTAAAACATGATATAATAACCATAATTTGCGGAATTTACGATAACAACAGTAGAAACCATCCTGACACAGCCCAAACCGGGGTGTCACAAGTCATGAGCAACTCATAAATTCGGATACCAGTCTACTAGATACGAAATCCGATACAAAAGTTCAAGGACATGAAATTAGTAAAATAAGGGAGGCACGGGGGCTGCGGACGCCAACGGTTACCTCGTAGTCTCCGTAATCACTGCCTGGACTGGGAGGATCAGCACTCAGGAGCGGACTCTGCGATGCCTTAATCTGTACACACGGTGCAGGGAGTAATGTGAGTACTCCGACTCAGTGAGTGATAATCATAAATAATGGCTGAAAGCAAGAGAACACGTAAAGGTACAAAGCAATTCTATATCAAGCAGTAAAATCACTTAAAGTAGCAAATTAGTGAAGAAGTCAAATGAAATCCTTTTAAACCAAGTGAAACAGGTAATTTAGCAGGTAAATAACAAGTAGAAATCTGCCCCTCGGGCACAGTAACAATCACTCAGAACTGTATCAGCCCCTCGGGCTCACTCTTAGTACAATATCAGCCCCTCGGGCTCACTCTCAGTACAGTATCAGCCCCTCGGGCTCACTCTCAAATCATGATGGGTACCCACGCTCACTGTGGGGGTGTAGACTCCGGTGGGGCCCCTTACGGCCCAAGCGCTATATCAAGCCACCTCGTGGCGTATAAAAGTATCTCAAGCCCTCGGCCTCATATTACTCAGCATATCCTCACATATGGCCCTCGGCCTCACTCAGTCCGAAAATCATCACAAGCCCCTAAGGCATTAGTAAAATAGTAGTTCTTAGCCAAAACATCATTTAGAAATATCATTTAAGTATCAAATATGAAAAAAGTGGCTGAATTTGTAAAACCGTAAATATCAACAGGATTGAGTTCAAGTAATAAGTCAAACAGTGAGGAATTAGTGGTAAAAATCCCCGGAGGGTTCAAATAGTTGGCACGAAGCCCAAATATGACAATCAACCCAAATCATGATGATAACAGATAAGTTTCAGTCAAATACGCGGTAAAATCATCAGTCGGGATGGACCAAGTCACAATCCCCAATAGCAGACGACTCCACGCTCATCATCAAGTGCGTGTCTCACCTCAATATAGCACTACGATGTGCAATCCGGGGTTTCAAACCCTCAGGACATCATTTACAATCATTATTCACCTCGAATCGACTACAACTCTAGCTCGCTACGCCTTTTCCCCTCAAATCAGCCTCCCCGCGCGTCGAATCTATCCAAAATCAGAACGAATACATCACAATATGCTAAGGGAGCAAAGCCAAGCGAAAACAATCGAAAAATATCAAAAATTTCGAAATTTTGCAAAACCCGAGCCCCGGACCCACTTCTCAAAACTCAGAAATTTTCACATAATTAGATTCCTTATCACCTCACGAGTTCATACATACCAAAAGTTCTCAATTCTGACCTCAAATGGTCCTTCAAATCGCAATTCAAAAATTCAAAATCCCAAGCCCTAGTTCTTCCATTTTTAGCTTAGTTTCCATAAATTTCTAGGTTAATTTCACAGTAGAATCACGTTTTAGGTTCAAAATCTTACCTCCAATCAATTCTCCTTGAATCCCTCTTTAATCACCTTCAAAAAGCTCTCAAAATACTCAGCTATGGAGGAAAAATGGCTCAAAATCGCGGATAAAATGTCATATAAACTTTCTGCCCAATTCTGATATTCCTTCTTCGTGAACGCGGTCAAACACTCGCGTTCGCGATGCACAAATTTAACTTGACCAGATTTCCTTCTACGCGATCGCGACCAAGGGCTCGCGAACGCGATGCATTAGACTCCTCAACCTACGCGAACGTGGTCCAACTTACGCGGACGCGAAGAGCAACAGCTCCTGGACCCTTCACGCGCCAACTCCACTATGCGAACGCGACCTACCCTCACGCGAATGCGAAGCACCAGCCTCCCACCTTCCGCGAACGTGAGGCCTCAAACGCGAACGCGAAGGCCAAACGCAGACCACCCCAAAATCCTTCTATGCGATCGCGACTTGCCCCACGCGATCTCGAAGGCCAATTTCGTCTGCAACAGCTGAACAATTTCTGCAAAGATCCAACACCAAAACTAGCCCGATTGGCCACTCGAAACCCGAGGCCCCCTTGACCTCAACCAAAAGCACCAACACATCCTAAAAGCTCATTCAAACTTGTTCCAATCATCAAAATACCTCAAACAATACCAAATCCATCAATTCACATCGAATTCAAGCCTAAGTTTTCTAAAACTTCCGAAATACGCTTTCGATCAAACCCAACCAAACCACGTCCGAATGGCCTGAAATTTTGCACACACATCCCAAATAACATAACGAAGCTATAACAACTCTCGAATTCCATTCCGACCCTCGGATCAAAATCTCGCCTATCAACCGGAAATCGCCAAAATACTGAATTCGCCATTTCAAGCCTAATTCTACACCGGACCTCCGAAACTAATTCCGATCACACTCCTAAGTCATAAATCGCCTTCCGAAGCTAACCGAACCATCGGAACTCACATTCGAGCCCTCTAACACATAAGTCAACATCCGGTTGACTTTTCCAACTTAAACCTTCTTAAAAGAAACTAAGTGTCTCATTTCTTACCAAATCCACTCTGAACGCAAACTTCTCAAATCGACCACATAAAATGCAGATAACGAAGCATAAAAAAGAAGAAATAGGGAAAACGGAGCGGTAACTCATGAGACGACTGGTCGGGCCGTCACACTAATAATTTTATAGGTGTGGGGACACTATGATTGCGAAGACAAAACGCTGTTACGAGATTGAGGTACTCTCCAGATAACCTTCGCCACTGCGATTTATGCACAATTCGTTACTATTGTTTCTGCACAATTTGTAACTACTGCTCTAAATATTCTTAAATACTATTACCATTATTATTTGCCTAATGAATAACGAACGAAGTTATTTTATCTGAAGGACTGCTATTATATTTTTGGTAACGAAGTTCGACAACATCTCTCTATGAAGGTTATAGTTTACTCATATAGTTTTTCCATCTTCTCTACACTTTTGTGTGCTGTTTGAAGTGACATAGATATTTAACATTGCTACAATATTGTAATGATCAGGAAAAAAATACCACGGCATAATTATGATGGCCATGAACTGAATTTTACCAATTTTATTGTATTATTGCCTTCTCGCCGTTATCCAAGTCCTCTTCTCCCCTTCCAAAAGACACCCTTACCTGGAGCAAGTCAGTTTTATTATAATCTGTAATGTATATAGAGAGAGGGACATACACTGGGTTACATGACATTCCCACTTAGCAGGAAATGCATTTTCTCCCCCTCTATAGTTTTTCGCCTTTTTATTCCACATAATACTAACAAATTGATTCAGATACCCAGCCATCTCTTCCCACACCGATTCTTTACTCCCTATTTTCATTCACATACAGATCAGTTTATTCCCATAATGATTATTTACTCTCTTTCCATACCCTTCCAAATATTTCATACTCTTTCATTCTCTTTTTACACTATTTCTCTCTACTTTTGCCGAATTTCTCTATACTCCACCCTCTCTACCTTCTTTTTCCCCCTAAGTTTAAATTTTGTTCACTCCCTGCTAATCTCTATATTCTTTCATACATTTGTATGCTATCGTGTATCACATTATAGATTACTAATCCCAGTCTTTGATTCAAAAACAAAACTGCTAGACAACATATCTATACGTGCAATATACTTTACTACTCATTTGATTAAAATGTTTATCAAAAAGCCGACTGCATACTTTTACCATCAACTGATTGCAGATTTTAATTTTTTTGGCCTTTTGTTCATTGTAGGAAAATTAATAGAGACATAAGAAATAAGGGTGCATTCCTTTTTAGGCAAGTTTCTATTATTATATACATTCTTCCTTACTTTTAATATTTGAATCTTCTAAATATCTTTTAGCCTTCCTATCTTTACAGTCTTTCTACTATTTCACCAATTGAGAAAAGACGAGTAAGAATGAAAAACAGAAGAAGACATGTTGATATCTTTTTCTCTTTGTCTTGCTAAAGTTCTTTTCTCTAAAATCCTTTAAAACCTTAAAAGTAATCACTTCTATAAAGAGAGCTTGTAATTGTTTTACAATATATGACTTTGTTACCAACTTGATCTTCTTTAGAGAAAGAAAAAAGATGGGGAATTGTAAGATGAAAGATTGCCCATTGTGTTGCAATTTTTTTGTTTTCTTGCTGATGCTTAATTTTTTCTTCTTCATATGTTTTCTACTATCAGGAATTTTAAAATGAGCTCAAAAGTGGAGAATAAGAATTACTAATGACAAGAGAAATGGATATTTGGTGCTTTTCATTTGAGAAATTCACTGGAAGATATAACTTCTCAGATTAATGGTAAATTCTAGACTTAGCAGTCCTTGAATTGGAGTCTTTACCTTCGTCCTTTTGAATAAATATAAATAAAAGAACTTTTCAATAGCCTTTTTAACGGCTTAGATTGAGAAGGATGATAATGTTATTGATGGTTGTTACCACAAATGACTGTAGTTGTAGCGAAGACTTACCTTACTGTCAGAGGCGAATCCAGAATTGAAACCCTATGGGTTCAACCGTTGAGGTTTTTAGCATTAAACCTATTATACTTATTAAGTTATGGGTTCATGTCTACTATCTATTGCAATTTTAGTGACGTTATACACATAAATTTATAATTCGCTTCGAAAGTTATGGGTTCAATTGAACCCATAACTAAAGTGGTACATCCTCCCCAGCTTACTGTCAAAATGATTGATGGCAATGATTTACTTGGTCGTTGAATGATTTAATTCTAGATGCGGTATTTTGTTCCAACATATCGTGAGTCTCAATATATTGATATGATTTCCTTAATCAAGATTCCAGCAGCCATTAGTCAAGTTGTTATTACCTTTAATATCTTATTCGTTCTGTGTCTCTTCTAGGCACATGATGTCTAAGCAGGGGTTGAATCCGTTGTTCCCAATGGAGGATATTGAAGTAATGGGCATTTGAAATGGCAGGCTCAAACAAACTACAGAAGTTGTTTTCTCTTTCAAGCCTCATGACTTTAAAGGATTCTCCTTCCGTTTCTTAAAGCATTTGCAGGGTGATGATATGCACCTTTTATGAGTTTGAAATAGATTTTTACTTTTTCCTTGTGCAGGGAGAAAATAAGGTATAGAAACAAAGGGAAATCCTTTTTCCTGCAAGATTCATTCAACAAGATGATGGTTAGCTCTCTGCCTAGCAACAACATTTGTTGGTCATCCTGCCCTTAAAGATATATTGGAATTTCAATCATCTTAATCACACCTTTCATTTTTCATTCTTAATCGCTCCGCTTTTTAATCATTGTTGCAGTATCAAATCAGACTAACTATATTTTTTCTTCTTTAAACTGTGTACCAGTGGGTCGATGTGGATTAACAAATGGCGCTTGAGTCCGAGTTCTTTACAGTGTGCATTATTCACTTGTATCAAAGCTTTTCAGTATGGTTTCCATATTTTGATCAACTTGAAAATTCATATCAGAAGAGTATGATAGTAATAAGCGACAGAGACTGCAAAAAATATAGAAAGTTGTCCTCAACTTTTAGTTAGAGGATGGAGATGAACTTCCTAAGTTGGACATTCAATTGAGCCTCTTTACAAGCTAAATCTTTAGCGACAGAATCTTGAGGGAAGACAACCTCTTCAAGAAATGGTTCTGTTCTTGGAATTTTTCATGAAAATATCTTTTTGTCTAGGAATAGAAAGAGTAGGAGATGAGTAAGAGGACTAAGAGATTTGGAGACTCCTTAAGAATAGTCAGATTTGACATAGATGATGAAGACTTCAGTAAGAGCCGGAGATACCTCAAAATGAAATGTTGAACTCTTCAGCGATCACATAAGAGACGCAATGACTGTTACTCTTTTTTGCAGTAACCTACTTCCATTGTTTCGTTGCTGAAATAGTCTAAAGTTTTGAACTTTAGATTTATTTCTTTTATGAGACTCTACACATCTAAGTTTTTATCAGTTACTGAAGGTGTTTCACAGTCTTTGAAATAGTTATTTTTTCTGAACTTTAGATTCTTGATGCTCCTTTCTTCTTTTTATGTGACTACAAAAGCTAAGTTCTTTGTGTGTTAGTTAAAACTTTTGAACTTTAGATTCTTGATGCTTGAAGGGTAACACAACTAAATGGGCAATTCATTTATATAAAAAAAAAGGAGAGAATTTACGTATATAATGCAATTTACTCAGAGCTCTATTTTATAAAAAATATTGATTTTGTAATATACCACATATAATTAATTTTTATGCATATATACTTAAAAATTATCTATTCTATCTCAATTAAAATTATAAAAAAATTATTTCTAAATATACATTGTTGTTATTTATAACCGCGCGAAGGGCGGCAAATTTCTTAGTGGACTCATAATTCAAGGGAGGTGATTACCTAGAATTAGTCCTATATTTGGCACACCTTACCACCACTGTAATCATCTAATTTTCTTCTCTACAGTTCTAGACATTATAATTCATAGCAACTTGTTCCCTAGTCTGGCATAGTTCGGCTCATTAAGCTCTTTTCGGCCCATCATTCTATCAAGAATCTTCCATTAAGAATTATTTCTTCTTTGATTCATTTTTATTATATTTTTTGAATCGAATCGATTGCTTGTGGCTCATCACATAAATTTAAGCACTTCATCTATTAAGTACAATTTTTAGGTTAAACCATAACGTGTTACATTTAAGTAGTGTATTTGAATATTGATTCTACAATCCTTACATGTTATAGAGACTTTCGGTCAAGTGATATTTATGGGAGCCTCCTGCACAATTATAATTTCGATTCCTATGATTTTTCTTTTATAATAAATCTTTTTGATATTACATATTTAGAAACTAGAACTATACATAATTAATACTATATTTTATAGTTAAAATATTGTAAAATGATTTAAAAACTAATAATCAAAAGATAAATTATTGATTCCTCAAATAATAATTAATTGTGCCTAACAAATTGAAATAACTGTAATCGTTTCATAAAGAGTTGTATTTAAATGTAAAAGAGCAAGTAAAATGATTTTACTTGGGTTTACATTCCAAGTAAATATAAAAACCATATTTTATGTAAACCCAAGTTGGAAATAAAATGGTTTACAGTCTCATCCAATGCCAGATCTCACTTGCCGTCCTTCTTTGCTTTATGTAAACCCAAGTTGGAAATCCGGATAGCCAAAGGTACTTCTTTAATCAATTCCTTTATGAAAATCTACCATGAAATGAGTTAAATGAGTTGTGCTATTATGCATTCTTGGAATTTTTGGGAATTTAATTGGAAACTTAGTGTGAAAATCTTGGTTTTTAATTTATTAATATTGGAATTGCAAGAAGGATTTGTTCACCCCATTTTCGTCAACTAATTTGTGATGTGAACATTGATCTAGGTTGGAATTTAGTACTAATAACCAGGAAGCATCCCATGTGAGCTTCTCTTTGATTCTTGAAACCCATTTCCTGGGATGAACTACAGAACCACCATTCATTTTCCAATCCTGTATATATGTAATACCCACAAAAAGATGTATGTTTTTTTTTGGTTTAAAATCCAAATGGTCAATCACCCTTTAAAGTCATTGTTGAATATTCACATATACATATTGGTAGGTCTTCAAACCCAGAATGCATGCTTCGTATTAAGCCATGTTGTTGGTACAATAGAAACGAAGCTGAGCTATAACAGGGTAGTGATGCCCTGTTTTAGAAATCTTTCATGTTAGCAGCCTCATCAAAGAAGAGTTTCCAACCGGACTTTTCCTCCTTTTCAACCTCGTCGATATGCATTACCTCTTCATCAAGGAAGTAAGTCCTCAAAGGTTCATATTCTTCATCTACCGGGTTTTCGGCCAAGTGATTAGCCAAAGCTTGGGCTTTCATCGCTGTCCGAGTCACATATATGATGTCAAACTCTGTGAGTAAGATCTGCCACTTTGCGAGCTTTTCTGTGGGCATGGGCTTCTGAAAAATATACTTCAAAGGATCCAGATGAGAGATGAGGTAAGTAGTGTAGCACGATAGGTAATGCTCAACTTCTGCGCCACCCAAGTCAGGGCACAATACGTCCTCTCAAGGGGAGTGTACTTAACCTCATAAGATGTGAACTTCTTGCTGAGATAATAGATGACCCGCTTTTTCCTGCCAGTGATGTCATGTTGACCCAATACACATCCAAATGAATTATCCAAGACTGTCAAATGAAAAATCAAAGGTCTTCCTGGTTCTGGTGGGACCAACACATGTGGGTTCGACAAATACTCCTTGATCTTATCGAAGGTTTCCTGGCACTCATCGGTCCATTTAATCGCATCATCTTTTTTTAGCAATTTGAAGATGGGCTCACAAGTTGTCGTGAGCTGAGCGATAAACCTGCTGATGTAGTTCAGCCTCCCTAACAGACTCATCACCTCGGTCTTGTTCTTTGGCGAGGGCAATTCCTAAATAGCTTTAATCTTTGACGGATCCAATTCAATGCCCCGCCGGCTGACTATGAATCCCAACAGTTTTTCGGATGGGACACCAAATGCACACTTTGCAGGGTTGAGTTTAAGATTGTACCTGCGGAGCCTTTGGAAGAACCTTCTCAAATCTCTGACGTGGTCAGACTGCTTCCTGGACTTTATGATCACATAATCCACGTAAACCTAAATCTCTTTATGTATTATGTCATGGAATATGGTTGTCATTGACCTTATATAAGTTGCCCTGGCGTTTTTTCAAACCAAAAGGCATGACCCGGTAGCAATATGTTCCCCATGGCCTGATTAATGCCGTCTTTTCCTCATCTTCCTCATCCATTAGAATCTGATGATAGCCCACATAGCAATCCAAAAAGGACCCAATCTCATGTTTGGCACAATTATCAATCAAAATGTGGATATTTGGCAATGAGAAGTTATCCTTTAGACTTGCCTTGTTGAGATCACGGTAATCAACACACACTCTGGTCTTACCATCTTTCTTTGGCACAGGCACAACATTGGCTAACCACGTGGGATACCGCATGACCCGAATAACCTTTGCATCAAGCTGCTTTGTGACCTCTTATTTAATCTTCACACTCATGTCAGTTTTGAATTTTCTCAACTTCTGCTTGATGGGCGGGAATGCTGGATCGATTAGCAATTTGTGGACCACCAAATTGGTACTCAAGCCTGGCATGTCATCATATGACCATGCAAAAATATCCTTATACTCAAACAATGCTTTAATTATTTCTTCCTTGATTTGTAGTTCAAGATAGACACTTATCTTAGTTTCTCTGACATTATCTGGGTCCCCTAAATTGATTGCTTCTGTATCATTCAGGTTAGGCTTGGGTTTTTCCTCAAAATGACTTAGTTCCTTACTAATCTCTTCAAAGGCCTCATCTTCATCATATTCTGATTCATCATCACACTCTATTTCTTGGACTATTATTTCAAAATTAGATTGACTTTTAAGACTAGGCCGAAGATTCCTCATGCATGTCATGTTATTGAAACCAGCATAAAAAGAACTGTATAGAGAAGAAAAGAAAAACAAAAATAAAACTATCAGGAATGATGGAAAAAGGAAATTGTATTTCATTGAAAATAAAGGATAATAGGGTTTGTACATCAACAAGCGGAAAATAAAAGTATGGGTCACAACCCTGGAATGACCCAACTAGAAAGGAAAATAAAATAAACCACCAAGACTTCTTCCGGGTAGGGAGATGAGTAGCCTTCCAATTGTTAAGCTTTGCATTCGGCCCGACGAACTACACGTCCGCTTTGCTAGAACATTTTTCAACTTCCACCATGTTCACATCATCAAACAACCTTTGGAACCTTTCAATTAACTCCTCATCAATGTCAACCACAGAACTTGGAACTGTTGTCACTGGGTGTTTCCTGGCACCGGGCTTGACAAAAGACCTGGAGAGACGCGGAATAGGCTTTGGAAGTACTCACGCCTTCTGTTTCAACCTTTTAGCCCTTTTCACATCTGCCGCTGTAGGTTTGAATCGAAGACCGAACGAATCTGTAAGCACGGGATTTTTGCCCTATATGAGAATTACTCCCAAAAATTCAAAATAAAATGATTTTTCTTGGTGTGCAATTTTGAGAATTTTTGTGATATTTTTGGATAATTATTTGTATTTGTCTGTGCATGTTTATTTGTTAAATTAATAAAAAATACAAAATTATGTCGCATTTTGCATGTAGGATTTAATTCTACAATTGTTAGTAATTAAGTTTGCTTTACAAAAATTGAAAATTACAAAAATAGGCATCTTTTGCATTTTAAGCATTTAATGTCCAATTGTACAATTTTATGCTTAATTATTACTTAATTGTGCGTTAATTGTTATTGGGAGTTAATTTGCGCTTTTATAACTTAATATAGTTCTTAATAATAATTTAAGGATTTTTAGAATTTAGTTTTACAAAAATAAAAGAAGAAAAGAGAGCAAAAATACAAAAAAATCGGAATTGGGTTCTTCTTCTAATTCAAGCTACAAGCCCAAAAATACCCAACCTTCCCCATGACCCGGTCCATCTCCACATGGGTCGACCCGGTCCGCCCCATAACCCCAATACCTAACCCCTCTTCATTTTTCATTTTTTCCCAAAACAAAACAAAAACAAAAAAAAAAAACAAAGCCAAACCCTAAACTAAACTATCCGGCCCCCACCCTCTCTTCTTCTTCTCCAAAATCCCAAACACCCCATCCATGGCTGCCCTTGCGTCGTCTTCTTCAAACACACACACACACGCACCAGCATCTCCATGGTTTCCCAGCCCCATCGTCTCCTACAACACCCCATCGACCACCCTCACCATGAACAACTCCTCCAAACTCCAAAACACACATCCATGGCTGCCTACGCTCACCTCTGTCATCTCTGAGCTCCAGCCATGGACATGGGGTTTCGTTTCACTTGTCTCCATCCAAACGACCAGCTGCTACTGC